TATTCAGGTGTTAATGAATGCGTCTCAAATGCATTCTGAATATGTCTGTGTGGTATTGAATGTATCCTTAAAGTATAAATGTGGTCCTGAATTAATCTAAAATAGTCATATTCATGTTATTCTGAATGTGTCTGGATTGTTTTGGATGTAAACTGAATGTGTCTGTGTAATTCACAGATATGGTTCTGAATACATTTTAGCGTGTTTTCACACCTGATAGTCTGCTAGACTATCAGGTGTGTAATTTTGACAAGCTTCACATTTATAATATTGTTAAAATAAAACCCTGTTGCACACGTTGACCCTAAATGGGTCTTGAATGTGTGATTTTGGATATGTGGTTCTGAATGGACCCTGAATGTGTCTATCTGGTCCAGAATGTTTACTGAACCTCTCCTTTACTGCAAAAACACAAATCTTACCTAGTAATTTTGATCTAGTTTCTTGTGCAAATATCTTATTACACTTGAAATGAGACTAAACTAACTTACAAATCACTTTTCAGCAAGATATAAATCAATAATATTTTGATATTGACAAAAGTGATGTAATCTACCAATGGAATAAACAATGTTTCATCAATATTAAGGAATTATTTCCTTTAAACAAGCTCACATATCTTTCTGAAAAGTTACTTATTTCAACTCTGTTTGCACCAGAAACTAAACCAAAAATACTTAATAAAATTTTGTGTTGCTGTTTTGAGGACTGATGTGTTTCGGGTCCTGATGTTGGGACCTGCTGCTGGGTAATTAAACACCTCTTCCCTGTGTGTTTAAGGTTGTTAATTAATTTAAACGTGTTCAGACACAAAGTGAAAATAACCTCTACAGATTAATTTAATATCACACCACAAAGTTCAGATCATACTTTCCCATGCTTAGCTCCATCTGGGATCAGAGCAAAATGACTGTAAATCTAAAAAATAAAGAAATAGAGTCAACAGACCTCCTTCCCCCACTCCCACCTCCTCTGCATCTTTAACAGCAGCAATGTGAGGCTGAACGACACGGGACCCGTGGCGCCAACATGTGCCATGTCTGTCTCTGAAATCCCTCAAACAGAGTTTTTCTCTGAATTCAGAGAACAAAGGAGAAGCTCGTGTGACAGTTTCAGGACAGTTGGAGGTGATTTGGGTCCACATGGTACCAACAACCCTGCAGAGGAAAGCAAACAGAACATGTTTCAATTACTGACTCTGTTTTTTCAGGCTGGTCAGAACCAAACAGTAAAAGTAGAAATTAGTTATACTGAGTCGAAAAGGTTTTTGTTTCTATAATCAATGATGGAAAAACGCTCCAGCAGTACTTCCTGTCTGGTATGTTTCTCCTATAAAAGGCAAAACTTCATCTTCAGATTTAAGTTTCAAGATCTGATTGCACTCTTAATAAAAGTCCCTCAAATTATTTAATGGAGCTTCCTTAACATTTTCCTACCACACTTTTTCCTTCCACTCAACTTTATATTAGATTGCGAGAACTTTGTCCACCAAATTCTAATTTGGGGTTTTCATTAGTCGCAATCTATAATCATTAAAATGACAGAAAATAAAGGCATTTTCTACTCTATATTTAATTAATCTATACAACACATGAGTTTTGCTTCTGACAAATGTGTGTCTGCCAAATTCAGAAAGAATAAGTGAGTGTAAAGAAATGATAAAGCATTAATGTATAGCTCATAAATCCATAAAGATTGAATCATCAACTAAAATCAATTAAGACTGAAAGATAAATTAAATCTCTATGGTTTTTTAGAGTGAATTTAACCAAAAAGATGTTGTTTGGGGAGGATTTTGAAAAATGTAAAGCTACGTTCTAGAAATTTTACTGTTAAAATTCATAGGCTGGAATTGTTGATTATTTCCTACATTTATATCACATTATTTTATTCAACTTTGATGTATTTGTTTGGGATTTTGTAAGATAGACCAACACAAAGTAAAGGAAACTGTGATGTTAAAGGAAAGAATGCATAGTTTTCAAGATCTATTGCAAATAAGATCTGAAAAATGTGGCATGTATTTACATTTCTCCCCTTTAATCTGATACCCGTAAATCAAAAACGTGACACCTCTCCAATCCAAACAGCCATTTTTTCTCTCTGTCAAACTAAATACAACTTTAGAGACAAAAATATAACATGACCTTTTTAGGAAAAATCATTGATCCAAACCATATAAACAAAAGCATTCCCACAGCATCACACTGCCTTACTATGCTCCACAATGAGGATGTTGTTTTCAGGGTGACAGTGTTAGTTTAGGGACAAACTTGTTCTATAGTGTGACAAACAAAAGAATGAAAGTTTCTGACTCAAAATGAGCCCCCGGCTGAATCTAAAGGAGAGCAAATCTTTGCTTGCAGTTAAAAATGTTACATAACGTTTCATGCATCTTTTGATTTATTTAAACAGAGAGGCACTTAGCCATGCACTTCATATAATTTTCATTATTTTATGCATCCATTCTTGTCTGTTTTGTGAGCTCTTGATAATGTAAACACCACCTCATTATTTCTAACTAAACCTGCAGGAATTGCTCTGATAAATTACCATATTTTTAAAAATCTGCATGTAATTTATCTCAGAACAAAGAGACAAACTACAACATCCTAACTGAGCCAAGAATTGGCCGAGTCCATCCTTTCTGCCATTAGGTCCCCCTCTGTGACCCGGGGAAAATCTCCGAGTGGGTAAGGCGAGTGCAGAGCTCAGGATGAGCTGGAAATCCCAGATGTGGGAGCGCTCAGGCAGCACAGCCGGATTATAGCCCCGAACATCAAATTGTCTTATGTAACACATTGTAATGCTGACAGCAGCAGCGGCGATTACACAATCTGACCTGGAAAGGAGGAGACGGCACGCACGTGGGCGTGCACGCTCACTCTGGGAGATCAAACCGCCGTCATGTGACCCGATGCACTCTGGACTGCAGTCTGGGACAGTTTTCCATCAGAACTGATGTGAATGTTTGGCTGCTCAGACCCCAGAAACTAAAACTCTGTGTGTAGGTGTGGATTCATTATCGGATCAGAACTCTGCAGCCTGAAAGTCTGGCAAAATAACACCAGAACCTGGTTATGAACGTATCAAGGAGTTTCCTCAGAAAATGTTTTAGCTTAGCACGATAAACACATCGGGTGCCTTTCGTAAAGAGACAGTAAAAAATTAACAGCAATAATTTGTTTTATTTAATCTGTGATAGAGGGGAAAAAGTGGGTGTTCAGTTTTCAAAACAATATTTTCTCCATTCCTACATTTATAAATGTCCGAATTCATAACAAAATATTTAATTCACATGACAATTTTGTTTATAGATTAAATATTTAGCTTTCAAATAAAAGTTTTAGTTACGAAGCTAAATGTCTAGTTCTCAACTAAATGGTGAGAGTCTGAGCTAAATGTTTTGGCTAAACCTAAACATTTAGGTTTAGCTAAACTAAATATTTACCTTCCAAAGTAAGTATTTAATTCACAAATATTTAGTTTACAAGCTAAATATCTAGCATTCAAATTAAGCACATGCTAAATAGTTAGTTTCCTATTTAGTTAGGAAACTAAATATTTAATTTCCAAATAAATTTTTATGTCTGAGCTAAATAACTCCAAATTAAATATTCATTTTGATAACTAAATATTTAATTCCAACCCAAATATTTATTTTCCAAGCTAAATATTTAGCCCAGACTTTAGCTTGTTAAATATTTGCTAAACTAAATATTTATGTTGCCAGCTAAATATTTAACTCATAACTAAAAATTTAACTCCATGGTAAATATTTAGTTGGCAAAATAGACATTTAATTTGGAGTTAAATATCTAGTTTTAAAACTAAATATTCGGTTCAGACTTAAACACTTTCTTAAATTAGCTTTCTAGCTAAATATGTTTTAGCTAAATATTTAACTTGTTAATTTAATATTTAGTTTGAAACTCTGACATTTATAAATGTAGGAATAAGATGCTGAAAATATAACTGAAAAATGAAAACCTACATATTTTTATTTATGACAGATTAAATAAATACAAAATATTGCTGTTAATTTTTTACTGTGTAACTTTACAAACAGCAACCCGTTGGTTTGGTTTGTGAAAGAACGTTCAGTCCAAAGCATTTTCAGCCACAGAAATGCAGAATAACAAGGGATTATTTTTCTGTTGAAAGAAAAATCAGCTGTCAGAGGAGTTTCACAGGGAGCTGTGCAGCAGATTAAATCTGACAGGGAACATCTCTGGAAAATAGTAACAGCAGCACGGACCTTGCTCACGCAGCTGGCATTCATGGACGAGTTTCATGTTGTTTCTATTGGGAGACATGTTTAATTTAGTCACAGCTTTACGAAAAAAACTTGAGAGAGAATGGAAATTTAGCAGTTTCTGCACAGATAACATCAACACTAAGCTGTGTGATGATGATGATGATGATGATGATGATGATGATGATGATGATGATGATGATGACAGACAACAATGGCTGTGCTTGGTGATGATTGTCTTGGTTACAATGATGACGAAAATTATACTTTATACTTATGATGATGAAGATGACTATAACAATGATCATCATCATCATCATGAAGAGGATGGCATTGACAATGAGGACTATATGATTACAACCTCGATGATGGCAATAACTAGGATGATGATCATTAATACTGATGAGGAGGAGGAGGATGATGAAAATAATGAGGATTGTCATGAAGATGACATTGATGATGGAGATTATGATGAAGATGGCACTGATGACGATTATGATGAGAATTATCATGATTTCTGAATCATCAGGTAAATCAGCTTCCTCTGACTTATTCTGTTTTTATCCATAATGAGAACTATAATGGTATTATTGATGATGATGATGATGATGATGATGATGATGATGATGATGATTATGACGATGATGATGATGGTGGTGATACAATTATTATGATAATGATGGTGATGATGAAGATGAAAATAACGGTGATTACATTGATGATGAAGGTGACAAAGACAGGATTGCTATGATGACACTGGAGATGAAGATGTCATTGATGTCATCAGACTCTATTGCTGTTGATGATAACTGATGAAGATGAGAAGGATGAGCGTAGCTACAGTAATGACGAAGAAAACTATAAAGACTCAATGATGAGGACGATCGCCATGGTTACAGCAAAGATGATGATGATGATGGTGGCACTGACGATGATGATGTCATTGATGATGATCTCAATATACTCTGCTGATGATGACAATGACAAAGGTGATGAACAGCTGCAATAATGATAGACAACGATGACCATGATGATCACCATGGTTACAGTCATGATGATGATGATGATGATGATGATCCTTTGTGATTTAGCCAATGAGAAGCTGGCTGTCTTCATCACTCGTTGTGGTTTCAGTATTCAGATTTCCTTCGTTTCAATTTCCTCTGTTTCGCTGACGTCACTTCCTGAACAAATCAAAAGTTCCCTCCGCTAATTGTTAGCATATCAAACTTTTCTGTCTTTTTTTTTCTGTCTGTTTTTTGTCTGCAGGCTCAGGCTCAGCAGATTAAAACTGGATTGAGTCTTTTGAAGACGGGCTAAGCTTTTAAAGGTTCCCCCTCCTCTCCTCCCATTAAAACCGGTGCAAGTCCCCCCTCCTCCGTTAATCTGCCCTGTTCTGTAACATCTGTCCCCGTCTCTGCACGTCTTCCTCTCAGTGAATGATCCGCCTGCTGTTGCTGCTGCAACTGATGCTGATCCTCAGCACAACCGGCTGAAAACGTTTCTTCTGAACGGCTGGAGTTTAAAAAAAAAACCTGATGCTCCTTTTTCCTGCTGAGGAATCGGCCGTCTCTGTGCATAATCAGGTAAAGCAGCTTCCTCTGACTTATTCTGTTTTTAAAGTTCATCAGTTTCTTCTTCAAGGCTACTGGAAATCCTGGACGGTTTGTAGGAATTTAAGCCAACATTCTTAATCCTAACTCCTTAGATACATAGTCTAGGGTGTAATTATGCAAAAGCTTCGTGAATTATGTCTTTAACTCGAGTTGAAGGATGAAATATTCTTCTTAGTGGCTTTTAACTTCATCTTAAAGTTTCAGCCGCTGATAAGAGATGAGGCGTTCACTGACATCAAGGAAACAGGAATGATTTCATTTGAATTTTATGTTTCCTCTCTAACTTAACATTTGTTTAGTTTCATTCTCAACTGGCTGATTTTATGACTTTTACAAACAGCAAAAATAACTTAAAACATGTTAACCTCAAATATGTTACATGTACAACAAAAACTTAAGAAAAAATATCTTACTGTTGTATTTACCATATCAATCAATACACATACTGTTCTTTGCATAATTAATGCACCACACTGGGGTTAGTTTAATTATATTTCTGCACTTTTTACCTGTTGTTCTGGTCTTGTTTGTATTGTTTACATCAAAAAAAAGGTAAAAAAAAAAAAAAAAAAGTCGAATAAAATGCTGCTGCAGTCTCACCCAGAGAGATGACAGAGAACAACAGAGGGATTACTCATTACACCGTTCTGTTTGGAGACATGTCCAGGATTAAAGGCTCATTCTGACCATCAGCTCTGAAATCCTTTATGTTTCTGATGTGAAGATTAAAGGATCTGACCATCAGAATCTCAGCAGAACATTTACAGTTTATGTTTCACCTGCAGCATGAGGCTTTTACAAAGTTTTCTTCTTCTCTTTCCACTGTTTCTTGGTTTGCTCAGAGATTATTTCTCATTTTTCTTTCTTCTGCAGGTGCAGCAGCTGAATGGCGGCGTTCTGCAGCAGAGACTCTGTCAGATCGTCAGGTGTGGAGAAGTTGGTTTGCACGCTCAGTTCATCTGAGGTGACGCCTTCATTTAGATGGATTCTACAGCTACTTACATGTTAATACAACAAAATCTGCTTCAGAGCTGTGTAGTTTACAACTTAACATCACTTCACTTTGTTTCTACAGGAAAAAAAAAGAATTCTGACTTTTTCTCAAAATCCAGATTTTTTTTCCTTAGAATTTTGTTTTTTCTCTGAATTCTGATTTTCTTTCTTAGAATTACGAGATTAATCTCAGAATTCTCACATTTTATTCAGAATTCTGACTTATTTCTCTGAATTGTGATTTTCTTTCTTAGAATTATGACTTTAATACCTGTATTCTGACATTTTTCTCAGAATTCTTACTTTAACCTTAAAATTTTTATTTTTAATTCCTCGGAATTCAGATTTTTTTTTTCTCTGAATTTTTTTTCCTCGGAATTTTGTCTTCAGTCTGAGCAATTTAAAATTTAATTTCAGAATTCCAACTTAATCTAAAACTTTTTACTTCACGCTCAGAATTCTGACTTTTTTCTCAGATTTCTGTCCTTTTTTTTCCTAGAAAATCAAAAGTCTGATTTTTTTGTTGTTGTTGTTCCAGTGGTCATAACCCTGTTCTCTATGTTTCTGTGAAAACAGGGAGTAGAAAACCCTCCTGACATGAAAGTCCACTGCAGACCTGGAGGAGGTGAAGTGGTCCATTCAAAGGTATAGAGGACAATAACCAGTTTCTGCAGATTGGTTATTTTGTAGAAACTATTGTTTGAATTTTCCAGGAAGACTCAAGTGTACAAAGCCGTCTAAGCATTTCCTGTCAAGAAATTACAACAAAAAAAATTTCAGGTTTGGTCCAAACAGGCCTGGGTGCTCAATCGATTTTACACGTATCCACTGATTTGACGTCATTGAACTTGGATTCATAAAACTGTTGGCCAGAAGGTCATGGCCTTATTTAGCAGCTTGCAGCAAATTCTGTAACATAATTGTTCAAAAACCGTAAAAATAAATAAAGAATACTGAACAGATTGAAAAATATGACCCAGACAGAATATAAAAATATCTACCCTGCACCAGGTGAGACTAAATTCAACCCTCCTGTACAAGTTCTCTGAAATATGGATGCAGGTGTTGGAGGAGGTCAAGTGTGCAGCTGTGAAGATGTGCAGTCAAGAAAACGTGAAGGTGTCCAGCTGTGAATGTGTGCAGGAATACATAAATATAACAACAGCCTCATATTATTAGGACTTTATTCTCGTAATGCTCTCACTTTATCCATGTGATTTTATTCATTTTATTTTATTATTTCTTAGTATAGCCCTAATACTCTGTTATAAAAAGCAGTAGAGACCCTAATTGAAGTAAAAAGTTTGCAAAATATGACTTTTGAGTAATGGTTCCCCTTTAAAGATATATAAAGGCACAAATATTTAGACACATTTTTGTCTTCCAGGTGCATAAACTCATCTGTATATCAACTATAAATGTAATTTACTGTGAAACCTTTGACATGCATCAGGTGTTGTTTAGAAGTGTGGTGTGAACGGGGCTTTTGTTTCAGATCTCCGGGCATCAGACGGCTCTCCACCGCAGCGCCATGGTGGGGAACAGCGAGACCATGGCCGCTCTGATTGCTGGAGGCTGCGCTGTGGACCTGCAGGATCCAGTGAGTTCTGATCACCAGTGTTTAGAGCTACGGGTCACGTTCCTCCATTCTGACTGCCATGTTCTGTTTGTTTGAGCTTGGAAACACGGCGCTCCACGAGGCGTCCTGGCACGGATTCACACGGTGCGTCAAACTGCTCGTTAAGGCTGGCGTTGACGTGCGCGTCAAGAACAAGGTAATTAGAGGAAAACTCGTCTCAGCAGAGACAGAGAGACTGAGTTTTCAACTCTGAGATTTCCACAACAAAGCACAATAAAGCCTCTATTGTTGAAGGGGGGTGGGGGGGGGGAGCAGGAAAATGTATCAGATCAGCTCCTGAGCCTGAAGTTTGATTTCAGTAAACATCCTTCTTGTTTTCAGTTTACAGAGATTATAATTCCGGGGTTGCAGTTTTCCAAACATGATTGTGTAATATTCTTACTGAATAAAGTCAAGCCTTTGATAATCCTACATCTCTGTTACTTGAGCTTCTGATTGGACCAGCAGAACACCAGTTTGATGCAGTTGTTCTCAAATTAACCTGCCAATCAGCGGGGGTTTGTTCTGACCGAAATAAACCCACCAATCATCCTCACTTATTCCTGCAGAGCCTCTCAGGCCGGCTGTGAAGTGATTTCTGATCTCTACCTGCAGCAGGAACTGAAATGACCGCCCAGGGTTCAGGTCTCAGTTTGTTCTGAATGTTTCAGGCAGGAAACTCGCCGCTTCACCTGGCCTGCCAGAACGCACACGCTCCCACTGCTCAGCTCCTGCTGCTCGGAGGTTCAAATCCCGACGCCAAGAACAAGGTGGGAAAAGATGGCAGAACCTTTTATTTACCCAAATAAAACACAAGGATCTGGTTAGCATGGAAAAACTATGCAGGAAATTTGTTTTCTAGTTGCACGATTAGCTTAGCGTAGCTTAACTGTGCTGTTATGCTAACTCTATTCAACTTACTTATCAACCTGAAGTCAAAATGACTGAAACTGAAGCTTTAAGCTGTTGTTTGCAATTTGAAATCTATAATTATATTTTATTTAATATGAGATGAATAATCTGTGAAACAATAGAGCTTTTCCATCTTCTCCCAGTGCTATTATTAGCCCCGCCCCTGATCAGAAACAACCAATCAGAGCCAGGAGGAGGTTCTTAGTGCTGTGCTAGTTAGTGCTTAGTGCTAGTACAACTTGATGTTCCAGAAAAACTCTTTATCCACCACCATCTGTGGCTATGCTAACTAGTGTTAGCATTCACTACAGGCTAAGAAGTTGTAGCATAGCAGAGCGCAAGGTGGGAGGGAGGATGGGAGGTTGTGAGCAGTGCATATACAAGCATGATTGACAGCACTAAGACCGTCCTCCTGGCTGGTCATGTATTTACATGTTAAAAGAAAAAAAAATATTTATAAACTAGCTATGAATCTTTTTTAAATTTATAATTACTGTTTCATTCTATCGTTGGAAAAATCTATATAGATTTAAGCTGCTGAGCACTGTGTATCCAAGCATGATTGACAGCGCTAAGACCGTCCTCCTGGCTCTGATTAGTTGTTAGAGGAGTTCTATTTGTTCACAGATTATATGTGTCATACTGTCATGAAATAGTAACAATTTTAGCAAATATGTAAAACATATATTTTTTATTTAAGCTACTTACTATAGCTTTAATACCCCCCTCTGCTCCTTTATTAAATGTTTTTTGTGTAATAATCTGTGGCTACCGATGGGACTAGAGATGGAAATTAGCCACTTGGTTATTGTGTTGACATGTAAATGTTAATATGTAATTCCCCATTTTTAAAAAAATAAATTGAAAAAAATCAACAACACAATTATTTAGGATTTAGTTAACATAGGAAGCATTTCTGTTTCCAGTCGTCCCAGTCAAATTTCACCTGTGCTCCTGCTTCAGGTGGGCGACACCTGTCTGCATGTGGCTGCTCGCTACAACAACCTGAACCTGCTGAAGATCCTGCTGAGGTCGCGGTGCCGCTTGAATGAGACCAACCAGGTGACAGCATCCGTTCTTCCTGAGGCTTACGGACAATTCAACATCAATCGATTATTGGAATAATCCTCAGATAATTTAGTAATCAATTAACTGTTAAGTGGCCTTTTTTGAGCAGCCTCAAATGGGAAATTTGCTAGAAGAAGAGCATATTCAGAGCAATAATTAAGTTACAATTGTACAAAAAATACAAAAAAAAAATCTTTCTGTAAATAATTTCTACAAATAATCAACTGTACATTAAATAAATGCCGTGTTATTGCATTTTAGGCAATTAAATGCTTTTATTTTTACTTTGGTTCTGGTTCTGTTCGACTGCAGGCTGGAGACACAGCGCTTCACGTCGCAGCAGCTCTGAACCACAGGAAAGCTGTTCAGCTTTTACTGTCGGCCGGTCTGGATGTGCGAGTCCGGAACAGCGTCAGAGTTTTTCATTATACTTTTATTCACTATGACTTTTGTCTAATTCAGACAGTTTTAATTAGTTTGGTAAAGTTTTAGGTGAGGAATTGAAGAAGGTCAAAATGTTGTATTGTGATTCTGTATTACAAAAACTTTATTAAATGTTTAACAACCAAATGACTGGTGTTTTATCCCAACTTTTGCTGTTGCCATTTTGCAGACTACTTGATGAAGACCAACGTAAACCATTTGTGTGGGGAAAATATTAATTTCTCATCATTCCAAAAAGCTAATAAGTAGATTCATAAACACTGAAATGAAGGATGTTATACCTATAACTTAAGTATGTTTTAGTTAGTTTATAAACGTGATTTAGTTCCAGTTAGTTATAGTTTCCCCCATTAATTACCATTTTTATTTGTTTCAGTTAATAAAAATGTTGTTAGCTTTAGTTAATTTGGTAACTTAAACTGAATAATATTGGAACATCTAAACCCCTGGCTGATCCATTGAATTCATGTCAGAGTTGAAGTGCTTCCTGGCTGACATGTTTTCCTCCTTCAGGCAGGAAAAACGGCGCTGGATAAAGCCAGAGATCACCAGAGCAAACAGGTGGCTCTGCTGCTCTCCAAAGTTCCTCAGGTTCATTAACTCACTTATTATTCATCATTATATCCAAACATGTCACCAGAACGAGTGTTTCTCTCTTCAGGTACGCTACATGAGAAGAAAGACGATGAGGAAGCCCAGACTGAGAGCGCCGACTCGACCCGCCAAAGTAAGAAACAGGAAGTTTAGGATCGGGTTCAGAATCATTTGAGGAGCTTTGAAGCTTTTCTTTTCTCTGGTTTTCAGGTCGGCGCCCTGAAGATGGAGCAAACTGAACCCAGATCAGACGCTAAGGTGAGTAATGAGCTGAATCCGGTTAAATCAGAGTCAAACGACTTGGACTCGAGTCAAACTAGAGCAGGGGTGGGCAACTCCAGGCCTGGAGGGTCTCCTGCAACTTTTAGATGTGTCTCAACTTCAACACACCCGAGTCAAATAATGAGGTCATTAGCAGGACTCTGGAGAACCTGACTGCACTTAGGAGGTGATTCAGCTGTTGGATTCAAGTGTGTTGGACCAGGGAGACATCTAAGAGCTGCAGTACACCGGCCCTCCAGGACCAGGATTGCCCACCCCTGGACTAGAGTCACATGACTTGGACTAGAATCAGGCTGGAGCCAAAGGACTTAGAAATCAGACACACAGGAGAAACATGACGAACTAAAAGCAGTTCCACCTCTTTGACTCGAGGCCTATTTGATTGTCTTAGTTTTAAATTAGCAGTATTACGTATTTTCCAGACACATAGTGCCATTTTACAACACAATCAAGTAGCTATATTACTTTTAGTTGTTATAAAATGCTATATGTAAACAATAGGACTTAAAAGTAAATTTGACTTTGTAATTTAACACCTTGAACTTTGACTTTTGTCTCTTTAAAAACTCCTACTCTTACTGAAAATCACCACTATGTGATTCCTCTATTAACCCTGTAACAAAGTTTTTTTTTACCAGCGTTTCACTCAGAAGTAGCTTCTACAATGAGCTCAGCAGTTCTGCCAGGTGTTTGCTAATTGCTGCTGGCTAGTCTGAAGGAGCTGAGTCGAAGAGTTAATGGGGAAGGGTGTTCTGGAACATGGAAGCTCAGAAGATTGGAAACTGCAGCTCTGAGGAGGAGCTGCGTCTAAAAGGCGGGGCTTGGTCCCCCGAGTCTTTTTGCATAGCTGAATGGTTACCATGGTGATTAAATGATTTCTCAAACATGCATGAAAGAATCAAAGCAACACTCCAGGTATGTTTTTGATTAAGGAATAACATTATAACATGTTGTAAACCTCAAATAAGTCAATTTTACATAATAGTGCCTCTTTAAACCGACGCAAATTACAAGACGAACCCTAGAATATCCCCAGATTTACTAATATTGTGTAGCTTTAATAGGAATAACTCAAATTCACACAAAAAAATCATATTTGTAACATTCACAAAACTATGGAAGATCAGTGCAGGTTTACAGTCAATAAGATGGTAACCTTAAGTTGATATCCAAGTCATCTGCTGAAAATCATTTATTTCTTTCATATTTTTTTATACAAGGTCCGGAAAAAAAAATCTCAATGTCAGATTTTTCCAATATTGTGTAGAAACTTGGGTAAATTATAGTAAAATGTAAGCGAGGATTGAAACACGACAAAAAAAAGATCATTTTTGAGTTTTTGAAGTTCAGTTCTACTTGTTTGTTCAGCAAAACAATAGCTTACATGTTTATGGCTAAAAATTCAGAGTTTGCAACCTGAGACTTGGTTCAAAGCATTTTTTCACTTTAGACTCGACTTCGGACTTGTTTGCCTTTAACTGACCTGAAACTCTGGACTCATTTCCACCTCTGAATTCAAAACCAACTCATTAAAACCCAGAGAATAAACTCCCTTCCTAATCCTAACTGTGACACAATCCTGCGAGCAGTGAGACTTTGACGTCTCTGCAGGATCTGGACGCAGAAGATCTCACCTCAGGAAGGAAACACAATAAATCCCAGAAGGACGAGTTCTGGGATGAAGGCGGAAAAACGTTTCAGCTCTACACTCTGTACAGAGACAGGGAGGGCAGAGTTCGGCAGGTTGGTTCAGTCCAGCTCAGAAGTTGAAGGTTCCTCAGGAGAGAAGTGAGTAAATCTGTTTCGTTTAAGGCTCCTGCCAGCGGCTGCATCTGCGAGTCTCTCCTAAAGAAGCTGCAGGACGATCTGACGACCTCAAAGCAGGAGCTGAGGCTGCAGATCCTGAATGTCCAGGAGGAGCTGCACGGCCAGATGGACCGGATGGAGTGCCGCAACAAGCGCCAGGTTAGCCTTCAGTGACGTGGGAATTGGGAACTCGGGTCTGGGTTTGACGTCAGAACCGAAGTAACAACGTTTGAGTTCAGAACCATAAACGTTGTTTCCAGTCGCTCTTAGGAAGATCATTTTACTTTATATTAGCATTAGTGTCATACTAACAAAAAATGTAAAAGTAAAATTACGAGAATATTCTTAGAGAAAATATCTGAGTAAAGATGTTTATAATGAATAAAATTATACAAGGGTGCATATAAATTTTATTTATACTTAGACTAAAATATATCAATATATATCATAAAAATTGTACTAGTAATTTGTGTAACTTCTACATTTTCCTTATAACAAGGATTCATTTTGAAAACAAATTATGAGGTTTTTTTACTTCTTCCTCCTTTTTGAAAATAGTAAGATTAATGTGGCTACAAAAATGTCTTTCATTCCTCGTTTAAATCTGTAATTTTATACTTCTTTCATGTTCGAAATAAAGAAAAGAAACGTTGCACATAAAAAAAGTTGATGCATTTGGATGTTATTCCCATAATATGACTTTATTCAGGTAATTTCATGGCTTTCTTATTTTTTTATTTTCTTAGTATGATCCTGGTATTAGCTATGTCATAACTTTCCTTAAGCAAACTCCTTTTTTAACTTTTTGTGTTTAGAGTTTCAGGCTCTACCCGTAACATTAATTTTAGAAACACTTTTACATTTGTGTCTTGTAAATAATTACATTTCCACCACATCTTAATAGTGTTGCTGTGGGGAGCGGCCATCTGAAACACAAAGTCCTCTTACAAGCCATTCCAGTTGAATTTCCCAGTTCTGAGTGTAAATGACTTTATTAGTATTTATTTGTTTCCTCATCTAACTAAGAGGTATTTGTTGTTTTGCGGCTGATGCTTTTATTTTGAAAGGGCTTTAAAGGGTAAGGTTGCTAAGTGACTGACACAAAAACTGCAGGCTAACTGACAATTAATTAACTGCTTGGATATCATGCAGAGAAAGAGCGCACGGGTCGCAGTGAAAAGGAGATAATTAAGAAGTAGTCAAACTAAGGTCTAAACAATTATTTAGCGCTTGGCTGATGAGGGAACAAGGCGAGTTTTGACGAGAGTATTGTATATAATAAGCGTAATGTTTATGTTTTGACATAAAATAGTGTTAATAGTTGATTAACTGTTGAAACAGTTGGAATACGTTTAAGTTCATTTGTAATACAGAAATATTATAGTTAATTAAATACATGTATTGTGAATTAAATGTTTTAAAGGAAGGTTTATAGGTTAAGGTAAAAGGTTAGAACCACTAAGAGTTACTGATGGTATTTTATTTGTATGTTTGTAGCTCTTACGGTGTGTTCATGTACAAAGACTGTTGAATAAAGAAACATGAACCATCAGTTAAAGAGACCATCTTTTCAACCGGGACGCCACACTGACTAAACTGGATCACAGCATCGATCTGATTGATCAAATCCATAAATATCTGAAGAATCAAACGATTGCGAGGCCGTCGCGCCTTCGTCTGCTTTGTGTCTTTGAAAAGCTCAGGAAGTTGGAGATGTTGATCCAGGAGAAAGCAGCGTGTGAGAGGAGGAGCCTCACATCCAGGATGGAGCAGAGAGCAGCACAGGACCGGGCAGAAGCTCTGAGGAACCAGGTACCATCACCTGACCCAGTTCAGCACCTGATCTGCTGGATGCGACGGCGCTTAACAGCTCTTTGCTCTGTCTCTAGGACGCTCTGAGATATGAACTGAAGGGCTGGTGTCTGTCTCTGCTGGAGGACTTGGACATCTCAGTTCCAGCTGAGACCATTTACCAGAACCTGCTGCTGTCTCCGTCTGCAGCAGCAGAAACGGACCTGGAGTCCGTGCCGCTGCTGTTTTCTGGAGACAGCAGCCCCTCAGTGTCCGCCAGCACCCTGAGACCCAGAGGATCTAAGAGTCTGAGGCTGGCCGAGCCGACCGGGGGCAGAACCTACTTCGAGATGAAGGTGGACAGGTGTGCAGGTACGTTTGACATTTATAAATGAATAAATACCATGGCGGAAATATTATCTTGGAAAATAATCTTCCTTTTTTATATAATGGGCCAAAAACTCCAAATTATTCCTGTTCATTTTTGACTGCGTGACTTTACAAACGGCACCACATAGATTAGCACAAACCTAAAACAACAAAACTATAAACTACTTTTCCTCAATGACAGATCAGAACCAGAACCCAGAAAGCTCACTGGACCTCTCCACAGTCTCTTCTGCCCCCTCCTGGCTCCCAGCAGTACTGCAGAACCTTCCTCTCTCTGTCGATTACACAGAGGATCGCTCCAGCAGCACCAGCACCGGCCCACAGGAAGAGGTCCGGGGCCCCAAAAGCGACACCATGGTTCTGGAGTTCCTCATGGACCGACCTGCTGAGCCCACATTCATTCAGGAGAGGAAACACCTGCACGCCATAGAGGTGAGATTCCCAGTTGAATTTAGATTGGGAATTCAGTTCGATAAAAGGACCAAAGCTGCAGCATTTGTTAAAGTTTCAGCTGCTGCGGTTCTCTTTCTCACTGCAATGTCAAACAAACAAAAGCATTTGAAAAACCGGTTCCCCTCCTCGCCTGTGGTGGCGCTGCAACAAGAACGACTGAAAAAAAAACAAGACGACATGAGCGCTGTCATTTCTCCAGTTGGCACTAAACTCTTGTGTTTGTTTTGGCTGTATTTACCCAGAATGCCCTGTGCCGTAGTCACCTCAACAGAATCAAAACCTTGGTTTGTAGGCGAACCAAACCCTGTACAGAAGTGAACTCTGTTGCAGTTCAAATACATGTGTGAACCTCAACAAAAGCAGGAAGTGGACTATAGCACAGGGCATTCTGGGTAACTGGGTTTTTTAAATTAGTTTGGGTTGTTTGACAGTGCAGTGAGAACGTGAACCGCTACAGCTGAAAACATAACATGTTGCAGTTTTGGTCCCCTCTTGAACCTCATATATATATGAGGTCTGGACTTTGACTAGGCCATTCTAACACATAGATATGGTTTGATCTAACCCAGCAGGTCTCAGTTCTGGTCCTCAGGGTCCAATGTTCTGCGTGTTTTAGGTGCTTTAGCTAAGCAGTTAATGCAGTCATTTGAATCAGACCTGCTGGAGCAGCAAAGACATGAAGCACAGCGGACCTTGAGGACCAGCCAGTGAAATTCTGCTGACTAGCTGAAGCTGTGTTCTTGGTTTAGGTGACTCAGCAGTTCTTTGACGCCATGTCGGCTCAGCTGGAGCGCTGGTGTTCCAGGAAGATCCTGGAGGTGGAGTTCCAGTCGGAGCTCAGGGCCCAGGCGGAGAGGAAGGAGATGCTGCAGCGAATCAGAGAGCTGGAGGAGGAGCTTCACCGGCTGCAGACCAATGAGCAGAGAGAGAGCTTCCTGAGACCGAAGAAATCAGATTTTAATTGAGTACTGAAACGGTCTGCCAGCAGATTTTAGCTTCACGTTTGTTGGAGATCTTTATGTTTGTATGGGTTTTATTATCAGGAGTCAATTCAGACTTAAAGCAGATCCTCATGGATTTCACTTTGTCTCCAGTAGATGAGGTTTCAAAGGGAATGTTCATCAAATTTTTTTGCACAAGATCAATCTCTGCATGTCTTGAGCTCCTTTTAGAACAAATAGATGTGCAATTATATAACCAAAAAGCTTTGAAAAGCAGAAGTGGGCCTCCTGCACAACCAACAAAAATGCAGAAAGTGTTTTCTGGATGGTAAGTCAACAATAAAACACTTAACTTTTGTAGCAGTCGTTGTACAGTGGTAAAACCAGCTGACCAAATGTGCTGGAGCTCATTTGCTAGGTGACGGGCTGAGGTTGCTAGGCAACATCCAGTTACCTGTTGATTATGACTTAACAATTAGGAGGTTTTTTGAAACGGCTCATTTTCTAGACACCTAAAAACATTAACTTATTGCCAAAAAACAGTAATAATACACTGGGGGGCTTCCCCCCAGTGTATTATAAGCCTGGCGGGCCACCAGGCTTTACTTGTGCCCCCACCAGGCTAAGCATTGCTTATGTGTTAATTTGTTTTTAATGTTTGCATTTTTAAGACTTTATAGTTGGTGTTCAGGTATTAATCTCCCAATCTTTCAATAACACATAATTATCAAGTGATATTTTCAAATTTCCTGTCAGCTTTAAACATTTTTAACTCAAAAACACAACGGGCCGCTGGATGAATGACTGCCCTTGCACCCATCTGGGCTTAGAAGGTTTTCGGTGTGAAAACCTTGCACTTGGGTTGTTTTTAAAATTAGTTTAGATCCAAATGGAAGCATAACAACATGCAAAATGTGAATTTTGCGTGACAAACTCTTCAGATTTTGTAAAGAAGGTTCCTCATAATTAATTCCATCAGGCTTCACCAGAAACCTTCAGAAAAGTAAATAAAATCTCAGAGTGTTGGTCAATGTAAAAAAAGAAAAGATGTGAATATTTCAGGTTGTGTGCTCAGTGATTTTCTTTCACCTTTCATCACAACCTGATTCATGCTCTTCTCCTTGAGATAATGAGCCAAGACAAGTGTAGAGTAATGTTTATCTGTATTTTATGTTGATTATTTGGTTATCTCTGCAGAAACACAAAGCAGAGATTTTTTTTCCTAGTAACCTTATTTCTGTATTTTCTGTGGAACAGCACAGCTCTGCTCAAGGCATAAATAAAAACTGCACAAAATAAAGTAGCTAAATATTTGTCCTCTGTGATTTATTCAGGGATAGTTAAAGTTTAATCTGAACCACCACCATCACATTTTTGATTTAAAATCTCCATAAATCTAGTCTGACAGATCGCTACATTTTTATGTTTTTTTTTTGGGGGGGGGGGGTTTTGTCCTATTGGGTCGGATCAAACTGACCAGTATCTGTTATTGTTCTTTCGGACCTCAGCAGGTGAGTTAGGAGCCTTCAGCTGCAGAAGAGCATCACATGCGCCCCCTGGTGTAGAGACTAAGCGCTGCAGCAGGAAAATCATCCCTCCATCCCGTCCATTGTCCATGCTGGTGCCGGAGTACCTGGAGAAAATCTGCCCATGCACTGGGAGAAAAAGCAAAGTCCATTCAGAAAGATCAAAGGGTGTGATTCAGACCTAGAACCTTCTTTTGGATTTTTTTTTTTCCTACCAAACCTGACTTTTCAAACTCAGAAATGTCTTTGTCTTTCCTAGAAAATGTCTGAGATTAATCTGAAAATTTCTGAAATTTTTTCAAACTCAGAATTTTCTGAGTTTCTTGGCGGAATTTTTCTCCTTTTTCCTAATACGCCGTAGTATGAGTGCATGTTCCAACTGTAGTTTCTTTATAATCTGAGATTACAGCACAGAGAATAAGTGGGCGGGGCTTCCGTCCAGTGGGCGGGGCTCCGTTGTGTAACCCAATGATCCTGGTGTGACATCTGGCGTCGGGCCTCAGCGACCACACCGACCACACCGCAGCTTCTGAAGGGAAAATCAAATCAATGCTGCATCGACCGCATGGGGGCGCGATGGAAACCTAATTAAAGGCCCTGCAGGCACAGCTGGTCGTTTTCATGCAGACCGAGCTGAAACATGTGGCTGTACAGTGATGGAGGGCTCAGCGCACAGCGGGACGCAAGGCTTAATCTGAGCTCATCACGGGATTTCAGGAACACGTTGATCGTCTCCGTAGTCAGCTGCAGCTAGACATGCAATAATTAATCACTTCCTGTCTGAGCATTTAATGCAGTGTAAGTTAAAACCTCAATGAGGCTTCATTATTGATGAAAATGCATATTTCCTTAGATCAGGGTTCCCAAATTTTTACG